AGTAGAGAGTTTTTCTTTCCTATCTATTATTTCCTACCTATTCTGAAAATAGCCAAATGTTATAGTTGTATTCATTACAGTTAGGAATGAAGGCCAGGGCAAAGATGAATGAAGGCCAGGGCAAATATTGAGACAAACTGACCATGAAATACCTGATTAGAATCTCTCAATCAGAGTAGACTAGGGCAATGCCCTATAGCTTAGCCATCCATAATGCCACAAGTCTAGAGCTAGAGAACTTTGGAACCTTAGGAGAGAAGCATGAAATACCAGTATAACACCAGATGTTTCAAACTAATGATTTCCAGAATTGCCATCAAATCCTGGTTATAACAAAAATTTGGACTGTGTTCAGCATAGTCTAGGTGATAGGACCACAAAGATGAAAATAGAAAGGTTTCTATCTATAAGAAGTTTGTAACTTAGAATACGACACATTGGTTCATTTATCACAAAGATATTTATTGAGTACCTACTACATGTTAGGTGGTAAACTAGGCATTGGAGATATGATGGTAAACCAAAACAGAGTTCCTGACATTATGGAACTTGTATTCTTCTGGGGAGAAGAGATGGAAAATAAAACCAAGTAAATATTTAACATATCAGGCAATAATCAGTATTGTGGAGAAAATAAATCTAGATTAGGGGAATAGAGAAGGTAATGTCCAGCATGGATTTAAAACCTTACTATTTCTTACAGGACAGTCTGGAAAGGCCTCTCTGATAAGATTACATTTGAAGATATGCAGAAGGAAATGAAAGATCAAAGGATCTTTGGAAAGAGTGATATAGGGAGAAGGAATAGCAAGTGCAAAGGCCTGGGCACCAGGGTACTTGATATGATTGAAGAATTGTAAGATGGCCAGTATGGTTAGAACAAAATGAGCAAAGGGGAGGGCTACAGGAGATAAAATCAGACATGCAGTGGGAGACGAGATTACCAATGACCTTGTCAGCTAGTATGGAGGCTTTGGGGGCTTTTATCTGAGATGGGAGACCAGTGGAAGATTTTGAGCAGAGGGCTGACATGACATGATTTATTTTATAAAAAGATTACTCAAGCTTTATGTGGATTAGACTATAGAAGGTATAGAAGCAGAGTGAATGATCAGGAGGCTATTATACAGTAATTCAGGTGAGAGATGGTGGTGCCTCAGAGCATGTGGTAGCTGTGAAGGGGACAAAGTCATATTCTGGATATATTTTGAA